TGTGTTATTATTTATATATATTATTTATACATCTGTTCTTATGTGAAAAAATTTTTCTCGGGTATTTATTGTAATTTTTATAAATTTTAATCTTAACAAGCTATTATCTCAAAAATGTTTATCTTTCTTTCTTTTTTCATACGCATTCTAGTAAATTATTCTTCTAAGAAAATTAAAATGCTATAATGTTAATAGAGTTTTATGTTTATCATAGAAATACATTGACATATTTTAAACTGTAAATTTGATCAGATTTTTTGTTTTAATGAATAATGTAAATCTTTACATCACTATTTATAGCTATATAGTAACGTAAAGATTTAGTACGTAAAATCCTAAAATAAGTATTTTATATATATATATATATTAAAATTTTAGGATCATATATTCGGCGATGCCGGAAAGAACAAAGCCCGATTTTTCACAAACTGACTTTTATTCTTGCTTTAATTACACTTCCGTTCGTGTCGATGTCCGTCGGTCGAATCTCTCGTCCGTTCATTATTTCAAATCAGCTCGTTTTTTCTTTCAAGATCTTTCTCACAAACAAAATATCTAAATTCCGAATAACAAGTTTTTAATAATAATAAGTATTGAAGGAGAACCTATTTGTTATTATTGCTTGTCTCGAATCGTTAAACATTCAAATTATATTATAAAGGAAAATAGCGTTAAAATGTTACAAAGATAATACAATGGTAAAATGTATGATTAAAATGGAAAGAAATTAAAATCCGAGAATATCGCAAGTATCTATTTTAATGAGCTGATTCGGATGGCAATGTATGTAACATTTAAAATTTTAATCTTTATTAGTTATTATTTTTTGTTAAATATTGTTTGATTAATCTAAATCTTGATAAAGAATAATTATTAAGAATCAACATCGATATCAAACTTTCTAGAAAAATAAGTGAAATATATTGATAGGTTTTATAGTCTTTTGTAATGTAAGTGTGTTGTGTATTATTTTTAGATCAAAACAAAAAAATAATTCAATATCTTTGACTTTGACAATATTCTTGACTTTTTACATATAAAAGTTTAAATTTTTTCATCGTACATAGAAGGTAAATATAATAAATAAATTTTAAATTGGGACGAATTATGTAATATAAATAAATCATTAAATTATATAAATAAATTTTTGATGATTGAAAACTATACATTGTTCTGAAAAAATCATAAAATCATAAAATCTGTTTTCGGAATTTTTTTTAAATTAAATATATTTATTTTCAAGAATCGTGAAAGAAATCGAGGCGCCGGTGTCCATATAACAAGAATAATTCATCAGCTTGCAGATCTTATACCGAAATCTTCAAATCAGTGTAGGATGGTAATTGTACGGCGTAAGCAGGTTGATTGTTTTCGCTAACAAAGATCGCTCCGTTATTTCCTTTTTCGATCAATTCTACAATAGCGGTTGCCACATGCTCAGGTCTAAAATGGAAGGATTCATGCTTATTACGTAGCTTCAGTATAAATTCTTTTTACAAATTAATCTTCTTTGATTAATATAATCGAATTGTGAAAGTAACATGAGAAAAGAAAGATTTCATTCATAATTTATTTGAAATATAGTTTATAAAAAGATATAAATGATAAATTAATTTATTATTTATTATATACTATTTTGTAATATATATAGATTTAATTATTTTTTTTAATTAAACATCACAGACGCTACTTGCGCATGACTTAATTTTTCATATATGAAAAGGAGAAGAATACAAATCAATTATTACGATACTCTAATATAAGCTGTTAAAATATCATTTCTGTGTTGAATATGATGCTTATAATCCGAAATAAATAAAACGAAAGAACTGATCAACATCGCAACAATAAATTTGATTACTGAGTTAACATGGTTATTTTAGAAGTGGATTTATTGATTTCTATGTAAATATTAATTTAATCACTTTTTTTATTATTTACTATAATGATAATTTCATTTGTATAAGAAAACAGAAAATAGTGCAACTTACGATTGACTCTCCATCGTCGTCATTTCCTTAGCAGCGATTTCATCATCGAGGATGTCCATTGCGTAGATTTTGCTTGACATGTACTTCGAAGCCATGCCAGTAGTTGTGAGACCGGGACATATTATCAATACACGTACACCTGTTTTCTCATAGAAAGTCTAGAAATATAAAAAGCCTATGATTTAACTATCTATCATAAAATAGAATAACAGTGATATTCAAATAACTTGGTACAAATAGACCAAATAAATAGATATGAAACTTGAATGTAAAATTGCATTTATTATTTTTGTTTATCAAAATTAGGGCCATGCAAATGGACGATGCAAAAAAGACGCAACACTAGGGCTGTCGATTTTTTTTTGTCGATTATTAAGTCGACTAACATTTCAATTAATTAATAACTATTTCTTTAAAGATAAAATAATCAAAAATTGTATTTTTAATTTTCTTTAATTAATAATTGGATAGAAAGTTTTTAATTTAGTATAAAATCAAAGAAATAAATTAATTTTTTTAAAGAACTGTATAATTATTAGCATTTTACATTTTAATATTTTAAGAATATTTAAAAATTTTTTTTGTTAAATATTTAATTATAAAAATATTTTTATTTAATTATATTATGTACCTTTTTATTTTTATTTTTAAAGACTATTTACTTATAAATAAATGTATAGATATAAGAGAGTAGTATATAAGAGAGTTTTGGTTACATTTTTTAATCTCTTTTAAGCTTTTTTAATATTAAATTCGTAAATAGATAAACGGTCTTTTTTATTTTTACTTCTTTAAACCCCAAAAACTCTTTACTTTTAATTCTAATCGAAATGCATTTTTTACCACTAAGGATGAGGTAAATCCGACAATGGCGAAATGCGTGCCGGTGTAAATCGGCGCGATTGGATTGCCTTGCAAGCCAACTATAGAAGCCATATTAACGATGGTACCGCCTTTTCCTCCTTTATGCTTTCCCATGTGATTCAGACCCAGTAACGTGCCACGTACAACCCCTTTCTGATTATCAAAGTGATAAAATGATAAGAACAAATAAACCAGCAAAAATAATAAGAAAAGGGTTTATTCGGTCATTAAGTTTATGGTAGATTTGTTATCACTTACGTAATTAACATCAACCATCGGCTCCCATTCTGCATCATTCATAATACCGGCATTATTGATAATAATATCCAATGTGCTGAATGATTCTATTGCCTTTTCGAAACAAGCTGCAAATTGCACATATATTAATATGTTTCTATCCATTGAAAAAATTATTTTATCAAAATTATATAAATTGGATTAGAAATATGACATCTCTCTTTTTTCTTTTTTATTCGGAAAAATAATTAAATTATTTTATATTTTATATTTTATAATTATTTTATATTTTGATAATCAAAATACAAATTTAGAATAATAGATTTTTTTACATATTATGATTATTATAATATGAGTATTACATATCGAGTATTACATATGAGTTTGCAGAAATAGTGGCATTTTAAAACAATTCATCCGATACGAATAATCGGGTTTTGACAAATAGCATAATTTGTGATGATCGATGATTAAGTGGGAGTTAGGATTATTGAATCGTAATATTATTTTGTAAATTCTACAATTCTATACAATTCATATATTCAGATTAATTGATATAATTGAATACCCGTAAATTCCTCGGCATTTGCCACGTTTCCAATGAGGAAAATGACATGATTCGCGCCGAATTCCTTCTCTAATTCCGTCACAGCATTTTCGCCATTTGAGTCAGGTAAATCTATAATTGCGATAGCCTGCAATGCGCAATTATTAAGACAAAATAGATTGTTCTGTTTTAATCTGTTTTAAGATATTTATAATAAAGCAAATAAAACATTATTTTTATTTATACTTAAATTCACCTAGCCCATTTATTTATTCCATTTTTATTATTTCAAGCAACAAATAATATTTTAAGAATCATCAAGGACGAACAAACAAAAATTTTATTTTAATGTTAAAAATATGTAAGTTACAGTAAGTTTTTAATGGACAATCATGAATTGTATCCCATTATTTTATATGTTGACGTCGTTAAATTACCTTCGCTCCGCTCCGAAGCAATTCTCGAGCGGTGCAATAACCAATGCCATTAGCTCCGCCGGTGATAAGCACGGTTTTTCCATGAATCTCCATTATCAGAGTGTTGTATTCGAGATACTTTTGAGACACTGCGGACGTATGCAAATCGCGATTTTCGAATCACGGTGATGAATCGATCTCGTCAAGCACTAATCCTCAAATGATTTTGCCAGGTATCACTAACGAGAAGTCGAACAAGTAGATATTGAAATCCGAGAAGTTGATCAGATATAATGAAATATCAAATGCGGATAGGGATAGCAGATCGGATAATGTGAGTCCGCTCTCGAGGTAAACAAGATTGGATTTGCGCATCTAGGCAAGAGAAGAAATAGAGAAAAAATTATTCAATGTTACATGAGGGACGCATGAAACATAATCGAAACCGCTAAAAATGTGAAACAATTCACCCATGCGCTATCATTAACGTACAAGATGGAATTATCATCGGAAATATAAATAATGCAGTAGGATTA